CGCCAACCGCGCTCGATAATATCTCTTGGCGCTCTCTGCTGGTCGACTTCATCCAATGGCAATGGGGGGCCAAAAAGGCCATGGAGAGGATTTTTTTGGTTGTGCAAAGAACAGAGCAGATGGAAGCGGATTGAGTGCCCCTCCCCATCTGTCTTTTGCTCCTGCCCAATCTGCCCAAAGATGGAATGATGCACAACCCCTAACCCTTAGCTCTAGGCTTTTGGTTCCTGGCGGCCATTTCCGGGTCCCGTCGCTCGTCAATCATGAGATGTCTCCTGCGTCGCTGGTTCCATTGGCCCAAGCAAAAATGTCAGCAGTGCACCTGAATCTGTCTTGTCGACCACCAAAATGGAGCTCCATAGTCCCTCATGTTCAGAACATGTGAGCCATTAAGAGAAGACAATACACAGAAATGACAAGATACAAGCAAAAGAAATAAGAATGAAGAGTTGGAGGTTGGATTACTTTGTTGGATACAACCGGGATTGAACCGGGGACCTTTTACAGGGCAGTTGTGTGAACTCTATGCGAAGCGAAAACCATACAACTAGACCACGTACTCGGCGTTTGTTGTGGAGATGTGGCAGTTGCGAACGTATATGTGGATAGCTGTGTCTGGGGTTTTGGTCTTGTGGAGCACCAGAGGTTAATTCTATGGAGTCGGAACCCTGAGCTGAGCCGTTGTCGGCCATCCTTTTGCGGTGGAGACTGGGGAGAGATCTCATTGGACCCGAGCTCCTTCGGCATTGTCTCAGATGGCAACAGAACAACTCAGATGATTGTTCTTCCAATTACGCGGGTTCATCCAGGAGAATTATACGATATGCAATACCGATCTTGGCTTTGAGACCGTCAAATAAGTAATTAACTTTAGTCAATGGCTTCGGTTGAACGCATGTTCCTATCCCGCGTTTTGTTCTGTGGTAGCTCAAAATGCTATCCAGTTTTGTGTCTTTGACAAAGTCGGATATGCGTTGGAAATTGGAAAAGGCGAGGTTGCGCTTTGACGTTGAGTCTTTTCTTCGAGGACGTGTTTTTCATGACAGAATCCATGACATGAAACTGCAACCACTACTGTTTACCAGGGTCGATATTGCGAGCAAGGTCTGGGGCGAGGGAATGCGCTTTTGCGCGCCAGAAAAACGTCAATTTGTGACCTGCACAGTCCTTTTGGAGTCCAATCAGGTCTTTTGCCATACCATCGCACCTCATTCACTAAGACACATGGGCCGCCCACCAATGTCACACAAGAGCCGGTATATTGGTACGGGTGAGAACAACCCATGGCGGCGTTACAATTGGATGGAAAAGATAGAAGCCATGGAAGACGATCCTCGCGGGCATCCCCGGGAACGGTGGTAACTGCCATTGGCGAGCTGGATTGCCGGTCCGCGGTGTGTGCGGCAGAGAATTGGCTTTGGCTGCTGCGCCCCCGTTTAAAGTCAGGGGTGCCGCTCGAACCAAACACTGCTTCAATGCAGCCATATTGCGGGCACGTGTGTTTTAATAAACTTTCATGCCGCCCCTGGCCGTCGGGACTGCAACGGACGACACGGGCGAAGCTGTCGCGGGCAGCGGGCAGTCTAGCTTAAAACAAATAGAGATCTCGCTGGCATTCCATATGTGGGTATTAATGTGTTTGTTGTTGGTTCAACATCTCAATGAAACCCAGCAAGCTTCAATCTCGGTCTTGTTCTCGGCGGTGGCCATGACTATGAGACTTGACACGTGAGGGTTGACAAGGAGCTGATGTCACAAACCGCCATGCTGTCCAACCTCAAAAACAAGGAGCAGGGCCAGGGCCCCAACTACAAGCCCGCTGTGCTGAAATGGCCATTCCTGCTGGTCCTGTTTCTTAGCATTTGCAGTCTCGCGGGGTTGCTCGAACATGCTCGCAGAGTCTTGCCCAGTGCCGAGGAGCACGCCGACGTCGACCGGCTTCTTGGCATACCACTGCTGTCCCCGATCCCCAGTCCCCGCCCTTCATCAACAAGCGCGGCCCCGACTCGGAATGCCTCGCCATCTGCTCAACCTGCCAAAGTCAGGCGCCAAGCAGCCGGCCCGGTACCGTCACTGCGGTGGCCGCGTGGAAACACGACGGCCTTTAACCAGACGTCATCTAACACCACAGCCAACAACACACTGCACAACAGCCCGGGGCCGGTTCAAGTTCTTAACAACAGCCTAGCCACGGCCAATAGCTGGAACGGATGGCTGAGCGGGTCAGGCCCCAGAGCCCTCTTCCTCCAGCCGAACTACTACGCGGACGAGTCGCTGCCGATTAGCTACTACTACCCCATTATCCCCGAGAGCGTATCGTGGGATGCCGTGAAATATTACAAGTGCGGCGGGCCCAAGACGGCGCCCGATATGTGCGAGTGCGACTTTATCCTTTTTGGGCTGGTACCAGCCGACACACCGCAGGACCAGTGGCCCCCCGGAACATGCGCGGCACGCCAGGAGATGACAAGCTCATCCTTCCCGTGCGCGTCAGATCCGGCCGAGTCGAAACGCATGTATACCGTTATGGCCAACGCCTACTACGACTGCGTGGGCGATTTCGGAGACGCCGCCCTAGCACAAATCCAGGGCCAGGGCAAGACCTCACACCACGGCTACGGGCCGGGACAGGCTGCCTTTTCCGTCAGCCTGTGGATGCCGGCCCTGGTCACACAGACGGACAGCCCGCCGCCGGCCACGACGGCCATCGTGCGAGTCACGCGCTCTTTCGAGGCCGTCTCGCAGCTCCCCGACGGCCGCGAGGTCACCTACACCAACACGGCCACCGTCTTCATCGCCGAGCCCGCCGTGTGGCAGACGGCCGTCGTCACCACCCTGACCGACTCCCATGGCCACCCCACCGCCACAACCACGAGCTTCCCGCGCGGCATGCTCGTCGGCACCCAGAACGTCGTGGTCACGCTGCGAGACGCGAACGGCTCCCCAACCGCCACCGTCACGACGCCCGCCCCGCTGTCGACGCACGTCGTCACCCTAACCAACTCGGCCGGCGCGTCAACGGCCACGGTGACCGAGTACGCGTCGTTTCCCGACGTCGGCACCGACACACCCGTGGCGCGCGTGCCGGTGCGCAGCGACTACTTCGTCGGGTCGTTCGTGCCGGTGCTGCTGGCGACGCTGCTGTCCATTATGATCGAGACGGTCGACTCGCAGCTCAAGAGCCTGCTTCCCTTCCACGCCCTCACGCGACCCGGCGGCGCCCTGGCCCGGCACTCGCTGTCGCTGAGCACGGCCGGGCCCGCCAGCCGCGTCAACAGCCTGCGCCTGCTGTACCGCTTCCGCGAGCCGCTGTCGTTCCTGGGCGACCTGCTCGTGCTCGGGGCCAGCGTGCTGACGGCGCTGTCCAGCGAGGTGGTCACCATCGAGTGGTTTGGGTCGTGCAACAACAACAGCTACTACGGCTGCTTCATCATGCTGTCTGTGTACAAGACGCGCGTCGGCGTGGCCCTTGCGCTACTGGTGTTCATGGCTATTGTGGCGGCCGTGCTAGCCGTGGTGCTGTTCCGCTGGCACACCGGCGTGGCCGCGCCGCCGTGGAGCATCGCCTCGCTGGCGGCGCTGGTCGCCGGATGCCGCCACACGCGCGAGCTGCTGCAGTCGGTCGAGCTGCGCGACGGCGAGCGCTACGTCCCGCCCGAGCGGTTCCGCGAGCAGCTGCAGGGCTGGCGGTTCGCGCTTGGCGCGTCCAAAGACGGCCTTGACTACGGTATTACGGTGGTGGCTGCTGACGGCCAGGCCCAGGCCCAGGCCCAGGCCCAGGCCCAGGACGGGCTTTCCAAGTCTGCCCCCGCCGCCGCATTCTCGGGCGAGAAGATATCGTCGTTTGACGACGCCAGCTCCACGACGACAGGCCCACCGCCACGAAACAAGCCCTCGACGGCAAGCCAGAAGAACCTGCTGGGTTGGATCGGACGCCACCCGAAAGTCTACGACTACACGATCCAGACCGTGTTCCTCCTCATCCTGGCCGCGCTGCTCGGCGTCATCCTCCGCTACGACACGGTCATGGCGACCGTCGAAGACAGCGCGTTCGAGGCCTTCATGGACAGCCAGAACTTTGGCGTGCGCTTCGTTTTTACCGGCGTCGGAGTTATTATCACCTTTTTCTGGGACTACTTGTTTGCCCGTGAGTTGGCTCCCTGTCCAAAGCATTTCTGTGAACTGTTCGTCAGATTCGATCCTCCCACTAACACCATTCTCCCCAAACAGGCACATCGGCGATGAACCTGTACCAGAAGATGTCGCGCCGGCCGCAGCGGGCCGCATCGTCCATCCTCGCGTCACCCACGACGACCGTGTTTGGCAGCCTCGGGCGGGCGGTGGCCGACGGCGACGTGCTGACGGGCGCGGTGGCGGCGGCGACGGTGCTGTCCAAGTTCACGCCGATCTTGTTGTCCAACATCCCGTTCAAGCCGACGCAGACGTGGCAGACGCACTACGTGTGCGCGTGGGCCACGGTTGCCGTGCTGGCATTCATGCTGGCGGTGCTGCTGGCTGCGCTGGCCGCGCGCGTCTGCCGCCCCGGCCCGCCGCTGCCCGCCGAGCCCGGCTGCTCGGTTGCTGAAGCCCTGTACTACGTGTGCGACTCGCACCTGCTGCGCGACTACGAGGGCCTGGCGCGCCTAGGCGTCGCCGACCGCAACCGCCGGGTGGTGCAGATGGGCCGCCGCTATCGCTTCGGCACCATGGTGGGCGTGTCGGGGCGGACGAGGATAGGCGTCGACTATGCCGATGCCAAGGAGTAGACCTATACTGTAATTGTGTACCTCTTGAATAATCCAAAGACAAAAAAGATGAAATGCTTGGTCTCCACTTCTGTGCCACGACTCCGTGAGTGACATGACATGGCTTGACATGACTTGACATGGCCCACTTTATGAAATCTCTCCACAGCCTGACCCAGCCTGATCACAGCCTAAGCCAGCTTGATATCCACCAACTCGTGGATCGCAACTCATCAAAGCCACAGGATTCGTGAATCGGGTATGGTGTAGCGGTAACATCGTTGACTCTCACTCAGCAGCCCGGGGTTCGATTCCCCGTATTCGAAGATGACACTGGAAGACAACAGTTCAGTTGATTCTTATTTGACTTTCTTTTTCTTTCCTTTTTCTTCTTTTTCTTAGGTTTTGGGAGGTCTTCTTGTTTCAAACTCGTAGCATCCCTAGGATCTGTGAACATCTCAGGAAGCTGCAATGAATTTGCTACATACGGTACGCATGCTGTTTCTAAATCAAAGACCGCTCCGCTCTTCGTTCAGCTATCCCACTTTCGAGACGCGTTCAATCAAGTAGAGTCACATGTCTATGCCGCCTCAATCAACTCCTCTTATAGTCAGAGCCACACAAAGGAACATATAGGGATGCCTATCAAACGCAACCATTCACGTCGGAGTCGTCATCTAATGGAATTGGCACTGGTTAGCATTGACTGTGGACTGCAACGGGTCCAGAAGAAACACAGTGCTCACCTGCCAGGCCTGGATTTGCAGGCTGCCGGCCGGTAGGGGGCGGATGATGCCAATGGCCACAATCGAATTGATCCAGTAGTACTTTTGGCTGCCCGTCTCGTAGGTCAGACGAACGTGGGCGGTGCCGTCGGTCTGCGTTGCGCCCGACTCGAAGACCTGGATCAGGGCGCCGTCGTCCGTCTTGAACGTCTGCCGCACGTCAATCGTCACGGTGCCATTATTGGGGTGGTTGGCGTCCACCAGCTCCCAGTCGCCCCCCAGGGGTAGCACAGTGCCTGTACATTAACTCGCGTGTTAAGATGGCAGTGTTTCATTGTGACAGGTAGACAGCCAGCCACGCACCTTTGAACCTGGGGCCCGAGAAGCTGCCGCTCAGGATAGGCACCACGATGCGAGTGCCGCGTGGGCCAGCACCGACCTCGTACAGGTCGCCGCCCGTGATGTTGACAGTGTACAGGTAGGTCAGGCCTGGCGCCTTTGGGAGTTTCGGGCTAATAGCCGTGGCGCTGGCCAGGCCTGCGAGCACCAACGCGGCCCAGAAAATAGTAGAAAATGCAGTCTTCATCTTATTGTTGTCTCGGTGTGTGCTAGAGGCGAACATGTCGAGAGCGACTCAGGGAGACAGAGCCTGACCAAGAGGGCTGCCGTCTTTATAACCCCAGATCCCGCGCAACTGACGAACGGATGTGACGACGGGAGGCTGGGAGACTCAGTTGGGCCCGTCGTCCGAAGCCGCCAGAAGCCATCCCAAAAGCGCTCCTAGCTGCATTCTGGATCTGCACAGAACAATTGCGTCCTGCACAGAACAGCTAGATCGGCTTCTAGACTTTTTTAAGCAGTGACTGCAACCAGCTCATCCGCATACGCGTTCCACGGGAGCCGGGTGCCGTCGTCGCAGCGACCAACGAGAGCCGTCCCAGCGCGCTCTGATGCAGCGCCTTGCAGGCGAGCCCATGGCCGAGCCATGCAGTCGAAGGAATATTGCAACCTGAACCAACCGACCACCCCCGGACCCCCGGCCCCATGTTGCCTGTGGCTTGCATCCTCCGCGCTGCTTGCCACCACCACCAACACCACCCAGACCAAGACGAGGTCGAGTCTGGTCCGGCTTCGGACGGAATCCGCCTCGACGGGTTTGGTATTCCCGCTGGTGCTGGGCCTGAGCAAAAATCACGTCGGGTTCGGGGCGGGTAGTCTGAGCCAGACGAAACGCGATTGAAAATTGCACCATTTTTGTCTTTATGGCGGCAACTCAGGACCTGCCTGGCACTCTTTTGCTTGGTGCGGGTCGAACAGGACTAAACCAAATCGATGGCCCACGTTCTTTCCAGGACTCTTGGATAAATTCGGCCTTCGTGGACGTTCAATTGACTCATAATGAAGATTAAAAATCAAATGATCTGGTCTTGGCAGATAAAGGGCGAAGGTGGGAAAGGAGGTGAAGCAAAAAGCCGCCCACCTCACGTCCTGTTAGATCTGATTAAACCTGATTCCAGTAAACGTGAACTACATTGCGCACCTGAAAGTACTATAAGGGCTTAAACTAAAGCTACGCGCACGACAAGGAACATTCTCCGAACAAATAACAGTCCCAGAATGGCCTCAGAGCCTTGGAGGAAGGATCCCGCAATGACTCCGTGAGTGAGGGGTTGAGCGGCACAGCTCCTGCACCGGGAAGGAATTGCAAAGGAGAAGACGCGCTCCGTGCCACCTGGTCTACACGGGCACAAGGCCTGGATGAGTAAGTACACGAGAGGGTCAGGCTGCTATGAGGCCGGACATGTGGCTGGACAAATGTCCCGAAAGGCTCGGCGCCGAGAAGGCTGCAAACAAGCTGGGAAATTACCCAGATGCCGACCACGTCGCCGACGGCTATGCTTCTGCAGACTTGTAGACTCTTGGCACCATAGCAGCGCGCCATGGCTAGTCATCTGATGCCTATATCAGAGCAGGAGAATCTGTCCCGTCACTCCCATCAGTCTCAACATCTCAACAGGCCAATGCGAACACTCTCCCAATCTCAAGTTCCGAGACCGGGGGCTGCTCCATGCCCTCAACCGAGAAGCCACTTGGCTGGGATCTCAAAAGGAAAATACAAGCCAGCTCTTCGTCCGACATTCCAGGCAAGCTGTCACGATGTTAGCCCAGAGCCGTGACATCCGATGTGGCCCGCCTCCACAGCTAGCTCCGCCGTGCCTTATCGTGCAGGCCGCGCTCTGAAATTGACTAGACAATCAATTTGCCCGGAAAGTGCATGTGCCGACCGACGTCTGTACGTCATTTTCCTGGGCCGAGGATTTAACAAGCTTGGCGATCCAGGGGAAACAGGGCGCCAAGGCAATATACCACTGCCGGCATTGCCGACCTTGCCGAGTTTCAGCTCCAGCTCAGGGCGACGCACACAGCGACGAGCATCGGGAAGTGTGCATCGGAGAAGTGCAATCGCGTGTTCTCGTCTATCGAGATTCGAGGTGGGATTTTACCCGCGCCCCCAACACAGTCCACCAACCAGTAGCCGCGGAGCATATCGGCCTGATCTCCTGGACCGTGCTGGGACCTGCAGCTTTGCGGAGGCTCCAATAAGGGTCTAATAACTGCCTGCCGCCTTGGTCGACAGCCTCCCTGGCACGGGCAGATAAGCAATGAAGACAAGAGCAGAGTCGAAACGGGAAAGAGGGGGAATAATACAGAAGAAAGAGTCAGGGAGGCGGCGGCCAAGTACAAATAGCAGGGCAGGGCAGGGCAGGGCAGGGCAGGGCGGGGAGCACAGGGAAAACCTGGGTGTATAAAACTGGAGCTGGCCGTCGATTGGACACGCGCACAGAGCAACAACTCGTGCTACCGGGTTCGCAGCGCAGAAGGATCGACACAGGACCGACCCACAAGGAGCAAGCAAACATGAAGATCCTCTCGGTTGGTTGCGTCTCGCTGCTCGCGGGACAGGCTTCCGCCTCGCTCAGCTGCACCGTCGTGCCGCCCACGTTGTCCAAGCGGCTGTGCGAGTTCGACGCCTGCCCGGCCTACGACACGGCCACCGCTGGCCAGGTCCTCCGCGCCGCCTGCGTCGCCGACTGCAGCACAGCCGACGAGTGAGTGGCATTTTCCACCATAATCACCACCCAGAACCAAACTGACACTCGCCACAGTCTCTGGCTCAAGCTCTACGACGGCACCTTTGTCCGCGCCAACGACGCCACGCTGCAGGGTTGCCGCTCGTTCTGCGAGCCGCGCTCGGTGACGGGTGAGTTCAGCAGCAGCCTGGCCACTCGAAAGAGGAGTGCTAACAAGCTGACGTGCAGATATCATGGCGGAGCTGCCGCGGTGCCACGTGGCGGCCGGAGTGTCCAAGCCAGCGAGCTGCGCGGGCCCGTCCGTCTCCCAGCTCACAGCCAAACCGACGCCGGTGGACGAGGCGCCGCCGCCTCTCATGGCCGTTGCAGCCAGGTGCAACTCTCCGCTGTCGGCGCGGGCCCTGCGCGCCGTGGAGAACGCCAACATCACTATCCTAGCACGCAACAGTACCGGGGGCGTCCTCGCGCGGGCCGTCGACAGCGTCAACGGCACCACCTCGGCCTGGAACGCCACCGGCATCCTCCCGCGGCTGTGGTACAAGGCGCGGGGCCTGGTACCCAGAGCGGCCCTTCCCAAGAACGACACGGACACTGTCAGCAACACCACGCAGCCCAAGATCCTGTACGTGCGGGCCCTGCCCAACGCAACGTTTGTCAACGGCACTTTTTCCAACGCCACTCTCGTCGCCAGGCGCCCGCCCGCCGTCACCAAGGCGCCTGTCGCCATACCGGTCCCGTTCCATGCCTAGCTAGGTAGTCTGTCTCCAAAGTACACTAATTACTCTGCCCCAGGTTGTCATCGCATGGGTTGCATCGCGGTGACGTTTCTCCCCAGCTCGTCTCTCTTGCAGCCAAAGACAGAGAGGAGAATGCTGTAAGTGTCAGACGAGGCAAGTTTCGGGGGCTCAGTCATGTTGACAATAGCAGTTGATATCTTCCCTGTACTTAATCCAGTTTGTTGCGGTTGAGATTGATTGGTGCGCTTGGATTCAAGCCAAAGCGGCGTATTACGAGTGTTTGGGTTCGGCGGTACTGTCTTTACAGAAAGGAGTTGCAGTTGTGCCACATGTGCCTCATGTCTAGTCTAGGCGTTTACTTCAGTCCAGTCTTTACCTCTGAATTCAGTCTTTTCAAGTTTAGGGGCCTTATGTTCTGATAACGCTGGTATGATTGGATTATGATTCGACAGCAATATCCCCCACGCTACCATCCCCATCACGCCCGCCTTTTTACGCGGATGGTGGCCTCCATGGGTGGCAGGCATGCGATGCCGACCCACCTGTTATGCGGGCGGGCGGGCTGCATCTCGAGGTCGTAGTTGAGCAGGACGTGTGCGAGCATGATCTTGAGCTCGCTAGCAGCAAAAAAGCGCCCGGGGCAGGCGTTGCGGCCGTGGCCAAAGGCCAGGTAGTCGGTGCCGGTGGTGGCAAAGGCCTTGGCGGCGCGCTTGAGGTAGGCCACGCTCTCGTCGGCGCGCTGCTCGGCGAAGCGGAACGGCTGAAACGAACC